GCTTCCTGTGTAAAACATGTTACCCTACCAGACTAAATGAGGGCATTACGGCCCTCTCCTCTGAGTTGTTTCCAGTTCCACGTCTTTGAGTCTAAGAATACATTCAGACTGAAGAAGCCAGAGGCAACCAGCCAGCTTCCCAAGGTATTTGACCGCATGTCACATTCTAGCTCTTTACCTGTCTACAGATGTGTACCACGGCACAAATAGATGAAATAGACTGTACAGGATGCAGGAAATCTGCAGCTGAGATGGGAACTGAATCTAGTCTTCTTGAGTCTTCATCCAATATCTACTCACACTCCCCTTTCTTTTTGAGGAATTGAGAGGATGTGCAGAGTGTGAAAGGACGTAACATCACAAAGAAAGACTTGTGTATCTTACAGAATCCATTTTTTTTATTGGCAAAGCAGAGGATCATCCAAAACAACCTTCATTAAGTACTCCTTGGTCACGTAGTTCGGAGCAATCCCAGTCAGTTTACTTTCTTCATAATCAACCAAAAGCAAATATTTTCTAAGAAAGTTGCACTACTGCAGTTGCAAAGAAGGAAGTCCAGAAGAGCTGAAAGATTTCATACAGTTAGACACAGTTAATTCATACTGAATTATCCTCACTGCATAAATGTCTGTGCAAATGACAGACTTTAATAAGCCTTCAAAGCTGACATAGTATTTATCACTGATTAAATTTTTAAAATCAAAGTAACTACGGCTTTTACAGACATGTTTAGATTAAGACTGACACTAACTCAGTGTATCAGTTTAATTCACTTGCAATTATGCAGGTGCTTGGGCGGCCTGTATTTCAGTCATAGAATCATAGAATCATAGAATAGTTTGGGTTGGAAGGGACGTCTAAAGGTCATCTAGTCCAACCACCCTGCCGTGGGCAGGGACATCTTCAACTAGATCAGGTGGCTCAGAGCCCCGTCCAACCTGACCTTGAATGTTTCCAGGGATGGGGCATCCCCCACCTCTCTGGGCAACCTGGGCCAGTGCTTCACCACCCTCAGCGTAAAATATTTCTTCCTTCTATCTAGTCTAAATCTCCCCCCCTTTAGTTTAAAGCCATTCCCCCTTGTCCTGTCGCAACAGGCCCTGCTAAAAGTCATTTAAGTCTAAATTGTCATTTAAGGCTAAATTGTGGCAGAGAGCCCATAGCTCCATATTGTATAACGAAGCCCTGGGACAGTCTTAAGGCCTTTACAGACACTGTTTTTCAAATCTAGAATATTCTCAAAGCGTTCCTCTGTGCACTGTGACTGTGTAAACTGTTCTTGCTGGAAACAAGAAATAGTATACAATCTTGCAATGAGAGTCCATCTAATACCTAACATACCCAGGAGGGCAAATTAAGGTTTTGTGAAAAATTTCCAACTTAATGCATATGACTTTGGAAATATAACATTATTGTTTGACTGTAATTGTGTATATACCTACATATACATGAAATTGCTGTATGGGGGTTGATGCATGTCCAGAATAAATTATATTTTTTCTACATTTCTGGCTACCATTTAAAAAAAAAAAAATTGCAATCCTTCTGGTGATGAAAGTAGATTAAAAAAATGAAATTCTACCAAGGAGTTGATATGTTATTCACCATACTTCATTAATATTTCATTTTTTGCAGCACTCCAAATGCACAGAGAAGTTATCAGAGGTTTTTTTTTTTTTTTTGCTTTGTAAGAGTTAGAAGGCATTTGATCATAACTGCTGAAGTAAATTAAGTGGCATTTTAAGAGCAGCCAACTAAAAATGCTGAAGGCATAAAGGACTTTTGATATCCAGGAAATCACAATTAATTTCAACTAGATAAAATAGGATACAAGATGGTATGAACCATTTGTTATTTCTCATCTGTGTCATTTGATTAGAAACGTATGGTATTTATCAGTCAGTAGCGTGGAAATAGAATTTGCTGTAAATGATAAAGGATGTAAAAAGATTATAGGTAAAAGGAGCAATAGGAGAATATGTACATATATTTCTTATCAAAGTATATGATAGCTTTCACTTGAGCTGACTACAAAGACAGCTTATTATACTGATTTGTACTGTTCGGGGAGAAAATTTCTAGGTTAAACAGAAGTTAATAAAACCTAAAAAGTATTACAGAAATTTATTTGACAATACATTTGACAGCACCCAAGTATAAGAAAAAAAAAAAAAGAAACGTTAAACACAACTTCACTGATATGGAAGCCACTTAAAGAAAGTTTTCTGTGAAAATGAAGCCTCATCCCTTTTTTCAGACTTAGCTGTGATAATTTGCTGGACCATATCCAACAGTCGAAGATGACAACAGTTTTCTTCCCATTGCCAGAAATTCCTGAAGAAAACCACCACTCACCTCATATCTACCATGCCTGTACTCCAGGAAGGGCAGAAGCAATTTATTTCCTGTATGGAGCAGGAACGTTTTTCCCACATAGATATTCAAAAGAAATGAAACTAAATAATCTATTATATTGTATATGTATATGTATTGTATAGGTACCATTTATCCCTGTGCTGGTGGATAGCTGTTCTCTTTTCAGGACTTCATTCACTGGAAACTTAGCTCGGACTTAGCCGACTTTTTTGTTTTAATGTGACCAGTCAAGAGCAGTTTTTAACCAGAAAATATTTACGTGCTGAGTCTAAACTTTTATATAATAAAAACATTACACTACTTGCTCAAACTTTTCCCTAGATGTACACTGCAATATACATTATATACGTGTATATACATACAGACATACAGTCCCTTATTTCAAGAGAAGCTCACACTAGCAATAGGACAATGAATATAGGTAGGAAGGAAGGGTGGAATAATTCTACAATGCTCTAAAAGACTAGGCTACATCTTGTCATGAGCTACACTTGAATAACAAACAAACAAATATGAAGAGATATTAAAACATTTCTTAAAAGTGCTGATATTCATGAAATTATATTAATAGGCACTAACGGATTCAGTCCCACGTTTTGACTATTACTTTTACTAGGTTCTGTTTACAGGCAGTCTTCAGATTCTACGCTGCACAGATGGAGGACCAACTTTAGAAAGTACTTTATTAGCCTTGCTGATTTTATTAATTGTGTATGATACAGTAACATCTAATCATGTAAAGTAAGATTAAAGATTCTGACACCCACAGCACAGGAACTAACAAACAGCAATTTTTTGTTCCTTTCTATATAGACTAATAAAATATTTAGAATAATTACTCTGCAGATTGTAAAGGATTAGAACTGGTAATTGCACATAACTTAAAAAAAGTATGTCTCTCAATTAATAAACCATAGAGCCTTTGACATTACAATTTATATTCTTCAAGAGAAAATCAAGTGCAAGAATATATAACATTAACACACAATTAAGAACACTTTGTTTTAATTATCTTGGGCCACAATTAATGTTGGCCCTGCAGTTCATCTTTCTACTTTGATAGCTCCTTAGACTATTTATGTAGATTAATTCTTGAAGTATTGGCATTTCCTGTTACGTGTTTTTGAACAAGCCACTGCACAAGACTGACATTAGTGAAGAGGCCTATTCACTGACCTTCCAGAACTAGATTCTGTCTGTCCATAATGTTACGTTATGTATCTGGGCAATTTGCCACAACTGATAAAGATTGTGACATTATTGAACAACTTCCTATCAACTGAGGACATAAAGAACTGCAACTGTCATGCAGACTGATTAAGAACAAGGCGAAGCAAACACAAATCATGCATATTTGGAAATAAAAGACCACAAGGAACCTACAGTCATTCTCCATTGACAGATAAAGCAAGACTATAGTAAACTGTACATTTATCAGTTTTATGGGCCTTAAAAATTTAGTATCATGTGTTTTTGTCCCAGGGCAAAATTAGAGTTAATTAATATTAAATGTGCTTATTTTATAAACAGCCTAAAATTTTAAAGGAAAGAAAAATTGCAGAGACTGCCTATACCATTCAGATTTCAGATTCTGTGTTTAGATCCAAATATGATTATAACTGTTCATGTTTTACTTTTAACAAAGTCCTCAAGAATAAAAATCCAGAGTTTTAATTTGATCAGAGTACAACTCAAAATAAAAACTATGATGCAAAAGAGCCTTCACACTTAACCAAAAATGTATAGGCCCAGTGATGAAGTCTTTGTTTACTGAGACCCTGCATAGGCAAAATGCCACTAAGATCGTTCTAAGGCATTCATTTATCCATACGTATAACACTACATAGATACTTGAACAGAAGAAAATGGAGGAAACACTTGGTAAATTAAAAATATGCCTTTGTACTAGTTCAAAATTATATTTAAATATGCACAGTCTTATTTTTTTTATACCCATTGAAACCCACGCTTCTATCAAGGAGCACAAAATAAGTTCATATATATAGTGGTTACAGTCTTACCTGCACCTTGTCCATGGTTGCCTAACAAAACTTTAAAACTTTTCCTCTAGTTAGGAATTACCACAAGGTGCACTATTTTGCACATCCTAATTTTCCAGAAATGCACTCAAAATGTAGATTGTGCAGTTCTCCATGTGGTCTACAAGGAAACAGATTTTCCACAATCTAACAGAAAAAAGACCTGAGCTGAGTCTTCAAGCAAGCAGTCTAGCAATTAAAAGTTGAGCAATAAACTACAATGAAGCAACACTGGTTTTACGACAGTTGTTAAACCACCTATATTAGTCTTACAATATTAATAATTGAAACAAAACCAGTAAAAACCATTTTTCTTATTAAATGGTCTCAACTGAATTAAAGTAATGTATGAAGTTTTTTTTAAAGGTATCTGATGCTCAACATTAGAGAGGGATCCTTTCAGTGGTTCTAAGACTAAGCTTCTTGTTCATCCTTGGTAAATGAATCATAAAAAAATACCCCATAACACGAGTACAGGTGAACTGTGAAAGGTTAGATATATACTACAGGGTGATTCAGTGCCAATAAATGAATGAGGCAGGGGGAAGGGTGGTCTTCTATGTGTAAAACCGTTGTACTTCTTACCTCCAGAGCTTTCAAACGCTCCAATAGCAATTTTGTCTTTTCTTTTTCCTCTTCAGTGCTGCTGCTTTCACTTCTTGAATCTTCATCTGCTGGCGTGTTAATTTTTTCCATGCCGTCTTTACATTTCTTACTGTCTTCTGACAGCTTTTCCTGAAATGATTTTTTAAAATGTCATTACTCACAGGTGAAAATGAAGTTAACTATGCAAATATCTTCAAATCTCCCTTGTATATGAATGAAAAAAAGACAGAGCAAGTTGCTAGTTACGTGATTACAGTACTAAATAAGTGGAGTCATTAAGGGTCTATGAAACACGCTGCTATGTCAAGTCTGCAAAAGTATATGCAGAACTTAACTGCTACATCTACTTAAGATTTTTAAAAAGTGGAACTCATCATCTTTTTAATAAAATAACTTGTGTTTTCCTCTTTAAAAGTTGCAATGAAAATTGAGCATACCAGCTTTCAATGGAAGCATTTTGCCACTGAGATATAAAGCAGTTTATTGAGGAAAAGCTAACATACGTTCATGCCTAATGTATTTCACCTTTCTTCATCTAGAGCTAATATTTGAATTACTAAATAATGGGCTGAGAACCAAGCTACCACCTGAATACTGATTTAAGATCCACACTAATATATAACTGGAGAGAATCAAACCGACAGCAAAATTTTCAGAAGTGCCCCAGTCTATTACAAGTCAGTCAGATTGGGTTATTATTAGCTGCTGCTGCTGAGTGGACTATGGCTGCTGAGTTTTACAAGAGGTCTATAAAAATCGTAGGATTGAACAGTGAATCCTAGTAACTCCATTAATTATGTGTCCAAGTTCCGTGTTGAGAGAGAAAATGAGATAGAGCAAGCAAAACATCGAGACTACAAGCAGACAATGTAAAATATTGCCCAAAACGACAAGGCAAGCATAAGTGGAAAAAAGAACTACACAGATGTATGGAGTGAATTATCATCTGAGTGCAACACAAAGTGGACAGTCTCTACCTTGTAAACCACGTTCTCTAACTATACAAGCAGATAGTGTGGCAACTAATGAGAAGATTAAGAATGGAAAATGTGAGGTAAATCAACATTAAATAATGGTTGTCAACACAAATCTAGAGAAGTCCTTTAATGAGCATTTAGTTTTCTTTGTGTGCCTTTTTGATAATTCTTATATACAAAGGCACATACTTTCATGATCTTTGGGTTAGTCTATAAGTGAGATGTATTTCCCATAACTACTACAGAACACAAACTCTGTCTAAGCATAAAAATATGTATTTTCATGAAGACCTGATTCAGCTTAAATAACTGTGCAAATATAACTCTTCAAGAGTTCACAGCAAGACATTATCTTAATTAAAACCCATAAACACAACTGAATTAAAAATCAGCACTGTGAATCACATTTCTAACAATGTCTTTTTTAAATATTAACTAGCTTAGAAATTGACTATTACTATGTTAAAACTTTAATCAAGAATCAATTTTATAAGCTATGGGCTTAATCACTGAATACTCTTAGACAAACCATGAGGCACAGATCTCCTTCTGAGCCTCAAAACACAAACGTCAAAGAGCCAATCCATCAGGTTTCCAGCATTAGTGCTATCCTGATCACAAAGGAACCATAAATACAGGGTGGTTTTTTTTTTCTTGCTTGCTACTCACTGGTGCAACAATCAAGCATCTGTAAAAGAGCCATTAAACCATTTTCCCTTCAAGTTGCCCTGATGAGTGCATTGACATAAAACACTTTGATGAACTCGGGGAAAAAAAATTGACAAAGGTATCCTCAGCATAAGAGACATGGACACCTGTTGGAGCGGGTGCAGAAGAGAGCCACGAAAATGATCAGGGGGATGGAACACCTCTGCTATGAAGAAAGGCTGAGAGAGTTGGGGTTGTTCAGCCTAGAGAAGAGAAGGCTTCGGGGAGACCTTCTTGCAGCCTATCAGTACTT